TTGTGGTTGTGTTTTCGTCGTCGCTCTGTTAGTACGTCATATGCTTCATTGATCTTGGCCCGTCTATCACCAACATAGGCCAATCAGCTAACCAGTATTTTCGCCCCTTCCCAAAAATTCTTCAACGGAAGGTCAGGTTAGGCATACATGGCAATCAGGAAAAAACACCTCTCTCATTCAGAATTTTCTTTCTGACCAGATTAGAATCATCAGTTTGACATGTTTACATGTAACACTTTTGATCTGATCAGGCCTTCAATCCAATTATTTCTGTCCATATAAACATAACCAATATCCATGCAAGTATCTTAGCTGCAGTTCAGATAGGATTCAGTTTAAGGTTAAAAAGTTTTCTATCAAATAAAATCCAGATGACTGCATCGAGTCACTGACTTGCAGAATTTACTCCTCCTGGATTTTCATGCAGCAAACGTGGGTAGGAAAACTCCCTTTTAACATGAATAAACCTCCAGCAGAACCAGGCTCAGTGTGAATGGAGAGAGAAATGGTTAACCACTGAAAGACCGAGCAAAATGTATCATCTGTCAAGTAATAACGATATAAATGTGTTTGTGTTGTTCTGCAGCTCTGGATGGAAAGCGAGGAGAACGACATGAGAAGCTGCCCTCTCTGCCAACTGATTTTCCCCGTCGGATATCCAGACGACGCTCTGATCAAGCACATTGACTCCCACCTGGAGAACAGCAAGATATGATTGCCAGGGGCCCATCGACCCACATGCACACATTTGCTCTCTTTCCTTTTACAAGTTTATATGAGAGTACAGCAGATCTGTCCAAACGGAGGGCCACGCGTAGGAATAACATTAAGGAGGTTAGATTTTTTGTCATAATCTGTAGGTATTGATAGAAATCAACAGAAAGGATTTGTTTGTTTTTTTTTAAAGTTCTGCAACACAAATCCATTTTGGATTTCTTGACCTACCTTTAGCGTCCTTTAACGGTTGCCCTACAGACAGGTATCCCTCTATAATCACTGGCTCTGATTGCTGCTGTTTTGCTCCGTTTAGTGATGAGTCAAGAAAGTTTCAGATACATTTTTATTTAACCACTTAACGGTGTAGAGCGCCTTTATTTTAGTCGATAAAGCCAACCCTGGTGCATGAGAGGCTGTCGGCGGGTTCTAGAGGCTCAGTACGCCTTATACTTAGTTTCAGTTTTTATCAGTGTATGATCAGGGAGATTCGAGTCATCGGTTTGAATCGGGTTGCAGTTGTGTTAGAGGATCGAGAGGCAAAGATCTGGTAGGAATCGGTTCAATTGAATGGTAGTCAATGACACATGGGAGTGTTGAAAGAAATGATTAAGTGACATAAATGAAGGGGGTATCTCAGTTTAATTGTTTAAATAGAAACAAGCCAGAAAAGGGACTATAAAGCATTCCACTTTTACATTTACCCTCTGGCAAACAGATGGACAAGCTGGAGAAAGAGACTGAATGCCTGGTTTATTTTACATTAAAACAGTTTTGATGAGGCCCTGCAGGGCAGGGCTCCAGTGAGGAAACGTTTTAGTCAGAGTATACCTTTTATGCTTGCGGCCTGTTCAAAAAGTATCCTAGCACTTTAAGTTAACATAGCCTATAAAATGTATATGTTGTCAGTGTCCATACAGTATGTACCGATCAGCCACAGTGTTAGAGAACTGTGATCGTCTGGAAGCTGGGAGGAGAACAGAGCGTCCTGTGGAATTAGGATGTAAATTAGCTCGACTGTTTCAGAGAAATATCAACTTATTCCTCACAGGAACAGCTTCAGCTTCTTTGGTTTATTTAAAGGTCAGTCTGCATTAAAGGTCAGGAAACCAGTAGGAGATAAATGAGCAACCGAGGCTTGAATGCAGTAGCAAAGGTTAGCCTGGTCAGTTATATCCCAGAGAGATGCAGAGTGTGATACATGTAAAACATCAAATCTGGGACTGTGTAGACACAGATCAGTCAGGAGCTCAAGAATCAGTTGATCTGAAGGTAAATCGTGGAGCAGCGGATGGCAAGGTGCATCATTTATCTAATGAGGAGATGGCGGACTGCACCCAAGAAAGATGGAGAACAGAAACTTTTGGTCCTCATACTAAACAACAGCTCACATTTGTTGTTGCATGTTCATAAAAACAGTAGTATCCTTTTTAAGGATAATGTGCGCTGCAACGCACGTGTGGAACGTGTTGGGCGATTACTTCCTATTCACTGAGAACCTACCGTACAACCTCCAAGACTCCTGCAGAGAGAGCATCCAGACAGTAACGGGGGAGACGTTTAAAAGCTGTGGCTAACTAATGTGTACAATTTTAAGTGTCTAATTTATTTTTTATTTTGTCTACATCTGTGAGACAAAATCTGTACATGGAGATATATTTTTGCAGTGTTTAAACGTTGTGCACCACATGTGTCATGTCGGTGACAAATTTCTTCCACGTGTTTGCACACTACTATACATGTAAATATAAATGGGAGACGAGGGTCAAAGCCCCACCACTTGTGGTACTGTTCTGTACAAAGACTAAATTAACCAATGGGGAATCTCCTCCGTCTTTCTCAGTTCTAATCTACATCACAGTTTGATGTCAAGCGGCCCAGACCACCCAACAAAAAAAAAAAATCTAAAAGAAAATACACGCTGCATGAGATTTCTACCTGAGACACTATATTTAGAAAGCTCCTGACAGTTTTGCAGGGTTTAAGCAAAGACAGTACTCTTCTTTTGATACCTGGATTTATTTGTTTTTAATCACTAACATGACTTTGGTCTAAGATCTACTTGTGACACTTAATCTTTTTCATAACGAAAGCGGAAAAAGAAACCATTATACTGATGTCACCTGCTCTTAAGGTTTTCAGTCACATAAGTATTTTGTATTGCAGGGGGGGGGGGTCCCCACACAGCAGCCCATTTATTTTAACTGGTTTGAAGTTTTTTTTTTTAGGAAACTATATGTTATAAATTTGAGTAGAGAGGGCTGAATAACCAACAGCGGAAATGGTTTGTAGTGTTTTAGAGTAAGATGCAGAATAGAGTTCTGACTTTACTGTTAAGGTTAAGAGAAATTAAACCTCTCCAGTCACATTAGATTAAAGGACAACTCTGGTTTACTACCTCTATTATTACTTTTAGTTAACGTGAGCACAGAGATTACAAAGTTTTTTTCTTTTTTTCTTGGACTGTCCAGCATTTCCTCATTAAAACAAGTGTACTGTTTTACAACATTTATTTGTGAACATGTTCCTTTACTGTTTGAATGTATAAAATGCATGAAAATACTTTGTTATCTGCTCTGATTGTAGTTGGCTCCACTGCTGGCAAATCTCACTGCTCTTTTGACCTTAAACTGAAACATGGTTCATTTGAGCAGAGCATCCCCAAGGCATAAATCCAATTTTGCTAGTTTTTATTCTATTATGTAAAATATTTTCCCCATATTTTGATGCTTTAATTTTGTCAATAATTAATTAAGAAACGAGGAGTGAAATCGTAAATGTTTTTAAAATTTGGGAGGACTTAGCCTACTTAGTCTTCTCATGGCTAAAACCATAATTTTAGTCTTTTAGGCACCATTTGTTGGTTAAAAAAAATAGTTTATCACATTAAAAAATTCTATTTCCAGATGCAAACCCAATTCCGAAGTATATTTAAGGAAACTGATATGTTTGCTTTAGATGAACTAGACGCAGAAAATTGAGTAATTAGTGTTTAGAAATAAAATACGCAGGAGATACAATATTAACATTAAAAAATAGAACAAATGTAGATTTAGGTGAAACGGACAGGAAAAAGGAGTCTCAGTAAAACACAGCAGATTTCGATGCTCGATTATGAATAATTTTTTTCTGAAATCAGATAATTTTCAGATGGACGTTCATTCTACTACTTATATAAAACCACCATCTAAGGTGACCAGATCTAAAAACAAAAACAAGTGTGGAGCAACTAGGATGCTTATGAGGGATGATGTGGGACAGATTCTGCTTTTCTTTTTCCTTTTTGACTCACTTTTACAGTGTTGCTTTCAGTTGCACTCCCCTTGTATCAAATTGAAAAATAACTGCGGTAGACTTCACAAAAAGCTGTCTGAGAATCAGCTGTAAACTGGCCTCATCTACTTATAAGCAAAGTATTTGTTCTGGCAGCTTTTTTTCTTCTTTAAATGTACTTTCCATCATACTTTGGATTTGAAACCTTTACCTGTTCTGGTTTTAGAAGACTTGTGCACCATTTGGGGCATGGAGCTCTGTCACAATGACTCCTTTGCATTAAGATATATATATATATATATATATATATATATATATATATATACAAAGAAGATGATTTTTACTCACCAATTGCATATATGGGTTACACTGAAAATCTTACTAGCTAATATCAAACATTTTAGGATTTCATAAAATTTACACTTAACCAAGACATAAATTTTTACTGAAAGTAACAATGGTTTAAGGTATATCGGTCTTAATTTTAGTGTATATCTTTAAACAGATTGCAAAATTAATCAACACATAGGTTTAAAAGTGGAAGTAGGTGGAATAACACAGTGTAACTTCTTGAAGTGAAAATCTATTTAAACAAGAGACTTTCTGTTTTATGCTGAAGCTATTCACTTCAAAACTAATGTCAGGTTACATAAATCACTGCTCTTTTTATGAAATCCCCCTTTTTTCAGAGATGACTTTAAGCATTGTCCGACTGCATGCAGTCCTGCATAAAGCAAAAACATAGAAGTTTTGTATTCTTGCGTTATAGTGAGCTTTGCAAGTAATTTCAGTTTTTGACTGAAGTTTGTTTAGCACCAGAAAATACTTAAAAATGAGTGTTTAGGATAGCTGATTCACTAAACAGGCAATTAATGTGAGAATCATCTACAACACTACCTTCTCATTTTAAAAGTTCAAACGTTCAGGAACAAAACTGATAAGTCTACAGATAAGAACCTTTCTTTCTTATATTTTTTTACGTTTTTGAAGGAGGTGGGTTGTGAGGAAAGCAGTATTCACCACCACCGCCAACCAGTTTCCTGGGGGAAACCCTAAAAAGTATTCTGAATTTCACAAGAAACAGGTGACGTTCAAAGAATCGTAAAAAGAAAAAAAAAACACCCTATTCTAATAGTTTTAAATCATTTTTAACCACCCTCTTAACTCATTACAGTTTAGTTAGTTATGGCAGTTTGCCAGGTAGTTACATTTGAATTATTTTACTCCATTTTCTAAAAACGGAATTTTCATTTTAAACCCCACCACAGACTTTTGGATTGTATATGATATTCAGATTAAAGGGGGTTGCTATAGCTTGCAAGTATTCTCAACTGTGTGTATAGTATGTTCTTATATTAATATGTGTCCAAATATTTAGAGTTTTGTACAGACAGCTATTTTGCAAGTGTTTAAAGCTGATGCAATATGTACTTTACTATTTCACAACTTCAAATTGGAGTGTCTGTAAATCTATATATCATAAATTATATGTGAGTCAACCCAACAGCCCTAAACTATTAATCATAATGTAGTAATGTCTCTTGTAGTACACTGAAATCACAGCAAGAAGGTTAGAATTGTGCTTTTGAAAATTTCAGACACTAAAGAGAAAATAAATAAATAATTTATTGACAAATAGGTTTCTGTTATCAGGAAGGTTAAAGTAGAGGACACACAATGCCCTGCAGAAATTTTCATAAACCATTTTTTGACAATTTTACCATTAATATTCATGTATTTTATTGGGATTCTACACGACTGTCAGTGGGCCATGTCCTTTTACAATAAAATTTTCAGTTCCAGTAAGAGGTGGGTTTTTTTTCCGTTTGTTTTGTTTCTTGAACAAACCTTCCAAATCCTGAAAGGGCGTGGAGGAATGTTATGAGATTGTTTCCTTATTTTTTTTTTCTTTTGATTAGAAGCAAGTGGGTACTTGTATAGTGACCAGACAATATGGGAAGAAAACCTGTTACAAGCTATAAAAGACAATTCAGGATTAATCTTCCTGCAGGACAATTATTGGAAGAGTTTAGATCAATGAATTTTAATGTCTAAGCATGGCCTAGTCAAAGTCCAGACATAATTCTAAATTGAGAATCTGTGGCAAAACTTAAAAACTGGGATTAATTGGAGCTCTCACACCTTTCAGATTTCTATTTCTAAATTTGACAACCATATATTCATCCACTTAAACACCACCTTGTGTTGGCCTATCACACAGAATGTCAATAAAATACACTGAGTCCTTTGATTGCAATGAGACAACTGATGAAAACACGTATTAGGAACTGTACAGTAGATCTAAATAGATACTCTTCTGTTTAAGAACTTTACATTATTTATCTTTTTTGGCCTCCAAAACCAGGAATCTATGTCTGCTCCTAACCAAAGAGAAGAAAATATTTCCTGTATATTTTGAGCAAACAGAAAACCTTGTTAAAGGCATGTGTGAGTGTGTTTGAAGATGCTGCTTTGTGGTTATTAATGCCGGTAGGTTCCCAGCCAAACATTGCTGGTGTTGGCAAGCAGCTGCAGTGCAGAATGATTGCGCCACTGCATGAGCTTGTGAAGTGATGCACACGGATGTTTGTAGTGCTCTGCATCCGCACTTACACAGGCTGTGCCGAGGTCAGTAAAGTGCAGTTTATATATGCTGCTTTTGGTTCAATGTTTGGTTTTCAATGGCAGAACTTTAAACTGTATTGTAGACTTTTTTATAGTCTTTTTTTTTTTCGGTGTCCTTAAAGCAAGCTGACTTTATAGTTTACTCAGGACAGAAGGAATAAAAACTGCAATGAGGAGATAAGAGCTGGGTTTGCCGTTTTGAATGGAATTTCCCATGGAATTTTGCTCAGAAACTCTCAGGAGACAAACAACATGGTCCTTTAAAGTGTTGGAGCAAAAAATAAAAGGAAAAAGTCAGAGTTTTAATATTCTTGTAAAGCTCCACTCATCTGTTAGTATCTATGTGAGTCAGGTTGTTTTTTTTTTCCTTTCTTTTTTGTGGGGTAACCTCAAGCGCACACTGAGACCTCAGCACTAATGAACTCCCCACACCACTAATGAGAAATAATGTCTGTGTGTATAACTAATGTGTGGAATAACAGCACCACTGGCATTCAATGACTCATATAGATAGAACAAGAAATCTGCCACTTAGGTCCATAAAATGTCTGTTTTTCTTTATATATCTGTAAATATGCCTATTAATAAACCTGCACTGAAACAGAATGAGTACTTGCTCTTTTTGTAACCTTATTGTGCCTTGCAGGATGTTTCTCACATCCTGTTTGATGCATTATTTCAGACGCACATGAAAACTTCATACAGCGTCCACTGTATCTGCTAGCACTGCTGGTGCAGATGCGTAAAAACCATAAAAATAAATTTAGCTTGGTTTTCACACTAAAAGTGACATTTTGCTGCAATGCTTTGATAGTGAGCTTTGGAGATTTTTATTTCCTCCCTTATCATCTTGCTCATTGTGAGAAATGGAAACTTGGCTCATCTCCCAGCCTTTCACTTGAAGTTAATTTAAATGTATGTATTCTACTGTAGCGACGGGTACGTTTAAATGAGTAGCTCTATTCTTCTAGTTATTTCGGGATTCATCAAGGTCAATGCCCATATGCTGCCATAGAATGGCATTTTCTCTTGTATTTCCCTTTTTAAAGAAAGCTAAGAGACACGAGGCTCTAAAATTTGACACAGTTATTCCTCAGGGATCAAAGGTTATTGATTATTATTGTGTCAATCCAATTGAACTTATATTGGTTGCAATAATTCTTCAGTAAACTTCTGTAATTCTGGAACATTTGGCCTTAAACCATCTTAATGCTATTATTAGTATATTGGCATAGCTTAATGTGATAACGCCGCATTTGATTCACCTCCAAACTAGTGATGTAATGTCTGAGCTGATAGCATTTCAGTTTCCGGCTTGTGGGTACTTGAATTATCTGTGTCTGTTTATGGCCGCTAAGAACATTGTTACAATCACACACACAAAAAAAAAACATCTTAAAAGTTGTGTTATTATTTCTGAATACAACTGAACCTGCCAGAAAACTATCTCACTCAAATATATTTTGCTATTTGATGAGTCAGGAGTTAGAACTGCAAGTATTGATCAATGGTGTCTTTCAGGTGGGCATTGAATTTAGCATTTGAACTTAGGTTAAATGGGTGTTTTTTTCTCTGTTGGTCTCAGTCTCACCCTGATTGAAGGATAGCTCCAGTATCAGGTCTGGTACTTAAATCGCATCGGATTTGCACAATTATAAGGTTTACCCTTTGAAATCAATATGTTTTTAAGACGGCCTAGAACAAAACGGTCTAATGGTATTACAACTACATCAGTGCCACTGAGTTAGCTTTTGCTCCCTATCATGATAAATTAAAATGTCATAAATTCAGCCTTAAAGGCATGTTATGAAAATAGCAAATCATGCAATCTCTGCAAAAACAACAACAAAAAAAGATAATTTGGTTCAGATGGTAAAAAAAAACAACAAAAAAAAAAACAACATGGATTCTAATGAGCTGTGTTTATCTGCTGAAAGAGGGTGCAGATGTTCTGGAGAGCCTGCGAAGTGTTTTTAGTTTCAATCCGACTTGAAGCTGCTGCTGAGACAAAGAAATGCTGAGAAAAAAAAAATATCACACCTCCATGTCTCTCAGGCGGGGCAGTTCTCTGCAGAAGTCAGATGCCAACAAAGAAATAGAAAAAAAAAAAACTTGATCTCAGTTGTAGATCAAATATAAGCATGAAAGTCTCTTAACTAATGTCGCAAGGGACATTAATTAATGGAAATAAAATTCTTTTTTTTATTTAAAATAGAAACAGACAGATCAATTCTATAAAAGTTTGCACATTTATTGAAAACGTCCTTGTATAGATTATATATCAGGGAAAACCTCTCTCTAAAAATGGAATTACTTTATAAAATCAGTGAAGAACATATTACTACTATACCTTAACAAAATATATTAAATACGCACTCCTATGGGTGGGGGTCCTTTCAATACAGATTTTAAATCACCTGGATAAAGGGGGAAATAGATGCATGCATGTGCAATCTGGTATCCTCGTTTTTTTGTCCTTTGTATCCCGGTGCTCTTTGAACCTTCTGTGGTTATTGTTTGTACCACTCATTTTTATGCGAGCGATAGAAAGCTCCTTGTTTGTAGACACAAACTTAGCCATTAAAGTCAACTCTGATTTAGCCTCGTGAGACCATCCTGATCTCGCGTG